AAAAAGAAAAATTAAAAAAAAAAAAAAAAAAAAAAAAAAGAAGGCGGCAGAGGGGCCCCAGCAGCCGGGTCCTCAGGGAGGGCAGGGCTCCTGTCTGCCCAGCTTGAAACTGCAGGCTGGGGAGCCCCCTCCTTCCCTCTACCCCAGGCCCTGAGTCAGGCCGGGCAGGGTAAGAGGGCCTGTGATCCCTGCCCTTTCACCACGTGACCTTCAGGGAAGGGCCCCATCTTGGAGTGGTTTCTCCTGATGAAAGATGGGTCCAGAGGGCAGAGTGGCCACGCCTGAGGTCGCAGCTGTGGGTCTGTGGCTCCTGGTGGCAGCCTCTGCCAGCGATTTCCAACTCTGCTCCCTGGACGGCTGCAGCCTGCTCCCGAGCCCTCCTCTGGAGTCACCACCCAGACCTGGCGGGACAGGAGAGGCAAGAGGAGAGAAAGAGAAAGAACTAGAGTCGGACAGCGGGAGGCAGAGATGGAAGCAGACACAGAGACTGTGAGAGAGACAGAGGGACAGAGGCAGGCAGAGAGAAAGAGCTAGGGGTGGACAGAGACAGCCAGACACAAAGAGAGACAGAGACAAAGCAGAGAGAGAGAGGGAGAGAGAAGACAGGCTGAGACCCAGACACACAGAGTCAGCCGCAGAGGGAGGGAAAACCCAGGTCCCCCTCTTCCCAGCCCACCCTCACCTAGAGCTCATCCCGGGGGTGGGGATGGAGGCTGTGCCCACTGCTGCCGGCCAGGTCCAGGCGGGGGTCACGCAGGGTCTTGTGAGAGCCGCTCCAGCTGATGAGGCGGCCGCTGTCATCATCCCAGGGCGAGGAGGTCTCCGTGTCACTGAGCCACTTGGCGTCCCCCGCATAGTGAGTGGGGGCAGCGAGCAGGGGCCGGGCCGAGAAGGCCCGCAGGTCCCGTGGCCAGAAGTGTGCCTTGTACTGCTCACTGTGAGGTGGGAGGACGGCTCAGGGGGGCAGAGGGGGGTCCCTCCAACCAGACCGCACACCTGCCTGGAGCTGGGCACCTCACCTGCCTGAAGCACCTTACTGCCCTCCCCATCTAGACCTCACAACGAACACGAGACGCAGGGTTTCTCTTATCCCCATTTTCCAGATAGGGAAACTGAGGCTCATAACACAGAAGTCACTTGACTGAAACCCACACGGGCGGGCAGCACAGAATTCACACATAGGTTGGTCTGACTCCAGGGCAAAGCTGGGCCACTCCTCAGTGACCTGGAAGAAGTGACCCAACCCTGCCAGCCTCAGCCTCCCCACCTGCCCAGCGAGAAGACTTGCCACTTGCTGAGGTGGGCTCCCAGGAGAGGAAGCCCCTGCCCTGCCCCATCTGAGACTCACTTGGGGTGCTGGTCAAACATGATGGGCAGGAACTCGTCCACGGGCAGCATTCGGCGCAGCGGCTGGGAGGCCAATAGCTTGCGGGCACCTTCCAGGCTCAGGACGTACGCCAGTGTCCAATAAGAGTACCCGGCCACCACCAGGTGTGGCAGCCCCTCCACGGCTGCCTCCTCCTCAGGGTTCACCTGCTTCCGGCCGAGGTAGCTGCAGGTGACACCAGGGGTCCCAGGGGTCACTGTAGGTCCTGGGGTGTCACAGGGCCCCTCCCCGGACCCCATCCTACAGGCCACGCTCAGGGCGAGGGCTGGCTAGGGCTCCAAGCAGGAGGCGGCAGACTGCCAGAGGCCCGCCCCTCTCTCTTGCCCCTGGGGGTGCAGGCTGCCTACATCAGGTCCCATGGAAGTTTCTCTGCCTCCACCTCCTCCATCAGCCGCTCCAGCCGCCCCCTGAAGTTGTTCTCAAAGCGCACGTCGTCCTCAAACACCACGACCTGGGCCAGGCCCCTCGCAACTACCTGTGGTACACGGTGGGGGATGACTCTTTAGACCTGGGCTGCCCCATTCCACCTGGCTAACATCAACAGACTCTCCCTCAGTTATATGCCAAATGCTCAGCCCCGGCCATGTCACTCAGCTGCTCCAAAGCCAGCTGGGGACTAAAATCCCAATGCCTCGCTCTGCCATTCAAGGCCCTCTGGGACCCTCAGGAGGTGGGACACGTGATGCGCCTGAGCTGCAGTAAGGAGATGGAGGTGCGGGGACTGAAACCACCTGTCGAAGGGCACACAGACAGGGAGCGGCAGAATGGGGATCTGACGCTGCATCTGCTGGACTCGGGGCCTGGTTCCTCACTTCGGCCTCCTGAACTTCCCTAAAGGAAGCTGGGCTGGGGGCCAGCCCCATGGCTTAGTGGTTAAGTGCGTGCGCTCCGCTACTGGTGGCCCGGGTTTCAATCCCGGGCGCGCACCAGCGCACCGCTTCTCCGGCCATGCTGAGACCGCGTCCCACATACAGCAACTAGAAGGATGTGCAGCTATGACAAACAACTATCTACTGGCGCTTTGGGGGGAAAAAAAAAGGAGGAGGATTGGCAACAGATGTTAGCTCAGAGCCGGTCTTCCTCAGCAAAAAGAGGAGGATTAGCATGGATGTTAGCTCAGGGCTGATCTTCCTCACAAAAAAAAAAAAAAAAAAGGAAGCTGGGCTGGGCAGGGGAGAGGGACCATCCTGGCCCCCAACATCTCTAAGAAAAAGTACTTTCTGTAACTTCTGGAAATGTGGAAAGAACATGAAATCAGCTCAGCAAATGGTGAAATGTACATCACTCTTCAATCTGTTCAAAGACAGTAGAAAAACAGAAATATAAGCTCACATGCATATATTTTGGCTACAGTAGAAATAAAGACAAAGTGAGTCTGTGAGCCCCTCCTGGAGGGGGCGCCTCAGTTCTCTAGTGTCCAGGCCTCCCACTGGTGCTCACATCCCAGCCCCGGGCTGAGGCCTCCCGGCCGAGTGCTGAGCAGGCCTTTCTTCTTCCCACTCCTGAACACACCCAACTCCTTCCTGCCTCAGGGCCTTGGCCCTCACTGTTCTTCTCTGCCTAGCAGGCTCTTCTCCCCTCCGCTGGATGGCGTGGCCCACCCTGACCCCACACCAAGCCAGGAGTCCAGGCCGGTCCACACCCTAGAACAGCCTGACATCTCTCCTCCCTGGCAAGCTTGGTTCTTTCTTGAGCTGCATTTTCCTTTTCACCTCTGTATGCTCGGAGCAGAATATGGCCTAGCACACAGTAGGTGCTCAATAGAGACTGGAGAATGAATAAGGTATAGGGTTGAACACACACAAGTTTAAAGCTGCCGGCCGGCCCTGTCTTCATGTGTTCATTCCCCCATTGGTTCACTCGAGCGCTGGGCACAGAGCAGTGAATAGGGTGGCCCTGCTCTCCCTGAGGGCGTGCACCGAGGGGCCGGGGTCCTCACCTCCTCCCAGATGGAGTAGTGGCTTAGGAAGCAGCCCACCTCGCCCTTGGTCAGCGTGCGGCCCGAGTAGGGGTCCTGGTAGCCGGGCAGCAGGTCCACGCCGAGGCTCCTCATGGTGCTGCTGTTGAGTGTCCTGAGGAAGACGGGTGTGATGGGGCGAGGGGTGCCCGCCACGGCCCCACCCAGGAGGCCCGGCCTGTGCATGTGGGGACAGTCACACCGGGATCTGGTTTGAAGGAGGTTTCAGCCTTGTTACTGCTTCGTGTGGCCTGAAGCCATCAGTGACTAGACCCGGGGAGCGCCTGCGGGGTGACCCTCAGGTGACGGGGTGGCCGCATGGGGAGGCGGGCGGTGGCCTGAGAAGGATGCACCCCAGGACGAATGTGGGAACACAGCAGACACTTCTTGGGCAGAGGCCCAAGCAAAAAACGAAATCCTGTGGTCAAAAGGGCTGGTGGCGTATGCAGCAAAGAGCAGCAGGCATGTGGGGCTGTGTGGCCCCTGGCTCCCCTGGGAACATGACCGGCCTGCTCCCGCCCCCCCCACCAGGGACCTGAGTCCAGAATGAAGAAGAACCCTGATCATAGTAAAGACACCTAAGCTTTGGAATGCTAACCATTGGTCAGACCCTGGCTAAATCTTCACTGACACTTCCCAACCCCTAAGAGGAAGACACAATTGTTTGCCATTTACACAGCAGGGCTGAGGGAGGGAGGTAACTTGCCGGAGGCCACAAAGCTGGTAAGTGGCGGAGCTGGAACCCCAGCCTGGGAGCTCCAGAGCCTGGGCCTTAACCACTGTCCTCTCCTCCCTCCGTCCTGTCCTGTTTCTGTCTGCCCTGGGACTCACTAAGATAGAATTACTCAGGTCCTGTTGAACACCTTCTAGAATAGGAAACTCAACTCATCTGTCCCACTCCCAGGGAGCTCCAATGGGCCCCAGGGAGCCTCACCGGCCATCCACAGCGTCCACCACCCGCACGGAGATCTCCATCTCCCAAAGCGAGCTCAGCATGCGCTCCCGGCGGTCGGGCCGGCGGGCCAGGCTGATGACAAAGACCTGGAGGAGGCAGGGGAGTGGGTGCAGGGGGAGGGGAGAGCCCACCCACCTCCTGGCCCCAATTCTGCAGGCTGGGGGGACTTACCTCATCAAACCCCATCTTGCTGGGCCTCTTTGGGGGCCGGGACACATGAGCCGAGGCCCACATCGGGGGCCCGTCCACTACAGAGGAAAGCACCCCAAACATGAGTTCCTACTGGCTCTGGTCAGGGGCGACTCTGGAGTTCTAGCCCCCTAGGCAGAGTGCCCAGCAGGAAGGGCCTCTGAGATCACAGGATCCACCTGCCTCCAGCAGGGAGACGGGGAGCCTGAGGCTCAGTGGGGAAAGGGACTTGCCCGGATTCAGGGAGCAAGTTAGGGTGAGGCTGGGATCCAGCCCGCTGCCCAGCCAGGTCTGGGGTCTGGGGCCTGGGAGAAGGGGCACATGGGGAGGGGAGGCAGGGAGCAGCGGCAGCAGACAGATGCACCAGCTCCCGGTCCTCACCCAGTGCTTCCAAGATCAGGTGGATGAAGTTGACCCTCTCGTCCTCTAGCCCCTGGTGGGACTTCACAGCCACGTTCATGTACCCATAACGGTGCTCATTGCACACGTGGACGGAGACCCCTGTGCAGAGAGGCTGAGTGAGTGCTGGAGTGGGGGCAGGGCTCCCAGAACCCAGCTGAGAAGTCCTAGGCTCAGTCCTGCCAGCGACCCAGTGCGTGAGTCCTCTCTGGGACTTGGTATCCCCACCTGTGGGACTGGAGGGAGAAAGGGCTTGGCTCAGACAATATCTAAGGGACTTTTCTGCTGAGATGGTTTATTCATTCAACAGATGTGTCAGAGCACCAGCTGGGCGCCAGGGTGACAGTGGTGAGCAAGATGGACAAGAGTCCCTGCCCTCGGGCATTGAGGCGAGGAAGGAGCAGGCAAACTCCCACCTGACCACACACGATGCCACCGGGCTTTGCCCCACCCCCTAAATCTCTCCCACCTCTGCCCACCCCATCGCCCCGCCAGATCCAGCACTATCAGCTCTCACCCAGATCTTTACACTTAACCCCACACTCTCTCCTGCCCACTCCATGCTGTCCTCCACTGGCAACTAGAGTGGCTTTTTTATTTCATCAATATTTGTCACCTTTATTATAATTATTTATTTACTCTTTATCTTCTATAGACTGTGAACTCCTCAGAGGCAGGCACACAGTATCTATTTAAAATTTAACCCCATGCCCAGCATGCCTGCCTTTCCTGCTTCGGCCTGCACCTTGCCCCCTCGCTTACTGTGCTCCAGCCACCTGCCTGCTTGTCCTCCTTGCCACCACAGGGCCTTTGCACCTGCTGGTCTTGTTGCCTGAAACACTCTTTCCTGCTCTGTTTGCCTTGTTAGTGTCTGCCCACACTTTAGATCTCAGCCCCAAAGTTCACTTCCTCCAGGAAGCCTTCCCTGACCAGGTAAACACTAGCCTATCTCCCAGAGCACCTATAATCAAGAAGTTCTCCCTGTCACAGTTGTGACTGGACATCGACTTGGGTGATCCTTTGACTGACTGGACTGGAGGTTCCAGGAGGGCAGGGACTGCTGGATTTTAGCTACACTGTCTCCCCAGTGCCTGGCACACGGTTGACGCTCCATAAATATTTGCCCGATGCAGGAATATACGAAAGTGCCATGATGGGGACAGACAGAAGGACATCTAACCTTCTGGGGCTGTGGGCTCAAGAAAGGCTACAACCCGAAGGACAAACAGGAGTTAACAAGATGAACTGCAGAGTGGGGAAGAGCATGCAAAGCAGAGGGAACAGGATGTGCAAAGGCCTAGAGGGCTCCACTGAACGCTCAGAAAGAGCTGGTCCTCACCTGCAGCCTGACAGGCATAGGCGAAGATGATGATGTCATCGAAGGGCCAGGTGTAGTTGGGGTGAGGCGGGTAGAAGGCGAGCTGGGCTGCCCCCTCAGCCCGCAGGGCTATCAGAAAGGTGGAATGGACCATGGGGACACGGAAGCAGCCCCGGCGCTGGCGGTTCTTGGTGGGGAAGTACTCGGCTGTGCGGCGGTAGTAGCCCTGGGGAAGGGGGTTGCCCCGGCTGTGAGAGGGCTCCCTCCATCCCCAGAACACTGCTCCTCTGCCATGGCCCACGACCTGAGGCCTTCGGGCTCTCTGCTCTCCATGTCCCTCCTCCTAGGACCTCAAGCCTCCTGAGGCCCCATCCCTGGTCTTACCTGGGGGGTGATCCCGCACCAGAAATTGGAGTAGTAGGTCTGGGAGTCCAGCATTGGGGCCACCACAGGCAGCCCCTTCTCTGTCAGAAGGCGCAGTGTCTGGTTGTTGGTCAGAATATTGTCTGTATCTGCAAACTTCGGGGAGGGGGATGTCACGGGCCCCAGCCTTGTCTGGGCTGCAGCCCCCCAAGGACTCACTGAGTGAGATCCCTCCCGATTGCCAGAGACCCAGCCTGGCTCCCAGGATCCAGTGGAGTTCCCTTAGAGAGGTCTAACCTACAAACCAGTAGATCTGTTTCTGGACCAAGGATCTCACCTGGGGCACTGGCTCAGGGATTGGGTCCAGAGATTAGACCTCAACTGCTGATCTGAGAACTTTATCTGAGATCTGATTTAGGGAGTAGATCCAAAGATCTACTCTGAGCTCTAGTCCAGGGAACTAGGCTCAGTTTATACTCTGGGCTCTAGCCCAGGAATCTAGACTCAGTATATATGCTGGGATCTGTGTCAGGGATCCAGGCTTAGTACCTAGTCTGAGCTCAAGCATAGGGATTCAAGCTCAATAGCTGGTCTGGGTTCTGACCCAGGTTGCTAGCTGAAGGATCCAGCCTAAAGGTGGTTAAGTCACACCAAGATTTGTACCAGGGACAGACACCACCACCTGCGGGAAGCCCAATCCTAGGCCAGGCTTTCTTACCAGGATATAGTCAGCCCCCCAGTCCCTGGCGAAGGTCAGGGCTTCCTGCTTCAACTCCATCAGAAACTGGTGCCTTTCTTTGGTCCAGTGCTTGGGACCCTCTTCGTCTGGGTAGGACCTGAGTGCGTAAAGAGATGAGATGTTCTCATGCGGTAGGTGCATGTGGTCTCCCCCTCGGAAGGCAGCGGACAGAGCTCTGGCCTGGAGGCTGAGGCTCAGGGCTGTCCCTTTCCTGTCTGGGTGGCAGCTGTTGCCCATCTTCCCCAGGGCTTTTCCCCTCAGATCGCCACCTGGCGTCCCCTTCAGGCCTCCAGACTACAGCTGCATAGTCATTGCCCACAGCGGCCAGCCACTCCTGCAGCATCTCCGTGGTGTTGTCCACGTTGTGGTCCGTGGCACACCTGGGGACACAGGAGGAAGAAGGGTGAGGGGGAGCAGCCGCAGAAGGACCACACCCCGAGGCAGCCTTGACCCCTGGAGCACCAACACCTGCGAGGCTGGCCTCTCCTGGCAGCGGTGGAGGTAGGTGTGCTACAGAGGAGGAGCTGAAGGCAGCCAGCCAGGTCCCAATCACAGGTCTGTGATCCACTGTGTGACCTCAGGCAAGTCCCGTCCCTCTCTGGGCTTCTCTTTCTCCCCCTGTAACTATAGCTGTTCTGCTGAGCTCATGGAGACAACAGAATGCAAATGCATTTTGAATGACGAAAAGTACCTAAACTTTGAGGAACATTCCCTGGTTACCTTCGTTTCTTGCTGTGTGACAACAGGTCAGCCCCTTCCCCTCTCTGAGTCAGGACTGGACAGAAGAGCTGCTGTTCCCTCTGCCCGAAAATTGTCGTAAGGACCAAACCACACTCGGAGCGTCCCTGAGAAGTGCTAACGGGCGCCAGCTCCGTGGCCAGAGCACAGCCTCTCCTCTCCTGTGGAAGCAGCTCCCACGATGGAGGGGGGTGCGGGGGCTTAGCCAAGAGCCCAGGTTTTAGGTGATGCTGCCTCTTTAAGCCAATTCCCCAGAAGTGAAGACTAACTACGTGTCAAGCCTTGGAGGGGTGGGAACTAACTAACTCAAACTGTGGTAATTGTGGGCGGCCTCCCAGGCACGACTCCACCCCAAGCCCAAGCCCAACTTTGGTGTGTTGTGGGGGGTAGTTTGTCATTTCTCTCAGTTTATCCCCAACCTCAGCTTAGGACTCCCCCTGTTGTGGCTTCCACAGACTGTGGCCTCTGATTCCAGTCCCCTGTGGGGACGCCTGCGGGGAGACCCCAGGGAGGGGGCGCTACCATCAGCTGGCAGGACGCAGCTCCTCTGCTGAGAGAGGCTGGAACCAGCCCAGCGGGAAGAGGAGGGGTCTGACTCCCCTGCAGGACATCACGGAGCCCAGGGCTGAGGGCACCCTCACCCGCTCCCCAGGAACCCCCAGTCCTGCTGATCTCTGCCCCGTTGGGCCCCAGGGGACGCCAGCTGCTCCTGCCTGCTCCACTGCAAGTCACGCCAACCACAGGACCCACTGGTTGAGTTTGGGTTCTGGGGGCTAGGGCATGAGGGGCTGGGCCCAGCTTACACCCAGAGGAGGTCCCAAGAAGAGGAGTAGAAGCCGAAATGAGGAATGGGTGCCCCTGGGTCAATCTAACGCCTCAGACGTCAGTCTGCAGGGCCAGGGGGCTAGGGGTGCTGTCTGGGGGCTGTGGAGGGCCTGTCTGCGAGGGGAGGGGCCTGTCTGGGTGGCGTCTGGGCGGGGAGCCGACGGGCCATCTGGGGCGGCGGCTGTCTGTGGGGCTGGGGGGCAGATGCCCAGTGGGTGCCAGTGCCCGGGTCTCTCACCAGAGGGCCAGCCTGGCCCGGGGGTAGTCCAGCCGCTCCAGCGCGCCCAGGTAGTGGGGCAGTGAGTGCTCGGCATTGCGGGCCAGGATGGCAAGGACCACGGCGGGTAGCGGGGGCTCCGCGAAGCCCGCAGCCTCGAGCCGCGGCCCCAGCAGGAGCAGCAGCTGGAGCAGCGGGGCGGCGCGGGCAGCGCGCATGGCGGG